GTGCAAAATTCGATCATTCTCTCTCCAGCTCCATTTCTGTCACCAAGTCCATGTTTTCCAACTACTGAATCTTCTTCTTTGTTCCCGACTTTTGCATTCCAGTCACCCATTATTATCAGTGCATCTTGATTGCATGTTCAATCAATCTCCGATTCCATAATATATTCAATATTCATCACCAACATTGCAATTGAAAGGCTCCAATCCTCTTTTGATTTTTCTTACATATTGCCCAACTTTCACAAGTGTATAAAGCAATTAAACATATTTTGCCATGAGTATAGCAGACTTTAAACAGACATTCTTGCTCTTTAATACTTTCAAGAGGTCTTTAATATAGATTTGCGTAATGCAGTGCATCTACTGATTTCTTAACTGTTGCATCAATGATGATTATGTGTTCAAATAAAATTTAATCATTGACAGCTTCAGTCTTTTCTCTGTTTATCATGATAAGCATTGATCCGCTTAGAGGATTTTTGTTTTCTTAATGTTGAGGTGTATTCCGTACTAAAGACTGCAGTCTTTGATCTTCAGTAAGCATGCTTCCAGTCTTTTTCACTTTCTGCAAGCAAAGTTGTGACATCTGCATACCACAGGTTATTGATGAGTCTTTCTTCAGTCCTCATGTCACATTCCAGCTTCTTGAATTACTTACTCAGCACAGAGTCAGGGAAAATATTTTCCTAGGATTGTGTGTGTGTGTGTGTGTGTACACGCACACTGTTTAGCACATTGTGGGTAATAGCTTCTGCTGTAGAGGGAAGTGAGCCACGACTTGGGGTCACAAAAATAGAGTTTTAGTGTTACAAGAAGACTCTAAATCAGATGGATTGGCACAGTGACTGCTTCAATGTGCTCTTGTGTGTCAGGAAGTGTGAGGATGGCACAGGATAGAACCAGGGTTCAGATCTTCTGTTCATAGGGTCGCTATGAGTCATACTCAACTCGAAGGCATGTAACAACAACTATATATTGTGAGTCTCTGAGTCAAAATAGACTTGATGTTACCTAATAATAATATTAAAGCTGTGAGACTTTAAAGGAAATCTTGTAAGTGGAGATTAGACTGAATGCCATTAGGATTGTATAGAGTTATGCCAGGCTCATTGTGGTTTGTGAACCACAAGAGGTGAGGATCTTAAAGTGAGTCTGACTGAGCAGACTGCTGGACTTGGTAAGAGGTTTTGGATCACTTTTCCTGGAGGATGTCCTGCTGCAAGCAGTCAAGTTGTTGTTTGATCTCAGAATTGTTTAAACACAGGATCAGGAAATCTGTTTTACATCCCAGTGACTTTCACCAGGTCTTTTCTGAATCAACACCTTTATGAAGGTTGTAACCCTAACAGATAGGTACCATTGAGTTCATGGCAACTCCTAGCAACCCTATGAGAACCTTGAGTGATCCTGTGCTGTCCTCAAGCCCATTGTTAACAGCCAGTGTGTCAGTCTGTCTTTTGAAGGTCTTTTACTTTGACCCTCTGTCTTTCTCACCATGAAGTCTTTTTCCAAGGACTGACCCCTCCTGATAGTAGGCCCAAAGTATGCAAAGTTTCACCATCCTTGCCTCTAAGGAGCATCCTAGTTGCATTTCTTCTAAGACAGACTCCTTGTTCATTTGACAGTCAATTTGATGACATCAATTCTTCTTTATTGAAAGTTTGTTCTTGTCTTGATAGCACATTGATTTTTATGGCTAAATCTATTGTGTGGATATACCATTGTTTGCTTATCCATTAAAGAGCATCTTGGTTGTTTCCACTTTTAGGCAATGTGTAATAAAGTTGCTGTAAGCATTTGAGTGCAGGCTTTTATGTAGACATACATTTTCATTCATTTGGATGAACGCATAATTAAATTGTTAGGTCACATTTTCACTTTGTAAGTAACTCTATGGCAACCTTTCTATTCTTTGGATTTCTCAGTGAGACAACACAGAGCAAATCTGAATGCATGTTTAACATAAAGCCTTATGAGATAAATCTTGGTCCAAGAACTAAATTACTTGTAAAAGCATAGACTGCTGCTGGTCTTGGGCCTTTCTGTTTACATTTCAAACCCTAAAATGGACACCTTGCTAATGATGACATTTTCTACATTTAAAAGCAAAAATAGAAACATTTCTGCATTTAAAACCAAAATCCTCATACATAATCAGAGCAAAATTTTTAATTGGCTTTTCAAGGCAAAATAAGTACTCTTTTTGAGTTTATTTCTTTTTCAAGCTATGTTCATTTTTCTGAAATTATGTTGTATTGAGTCCTAAAGGAATCCAGTATTTCAGGATCTGGGTGCTGGTGGCACAGTGTGTGGAGTACTTGGCTACTAAACCAAAGATGGGGTATTGAAACCCATCAGCAGCTCCACAGGAGAAATAGTAACATTCTGCATCAGTAAAGATTTCCAGCCTGGAAACCTTAAAGGGCAGTTCTACTCTAAGGTTTCTAGACCTTTAAGGTTAGCATTGGTAGTTTTAAGAGAGGTAGTTTTTCCTGTGCTTTGTTTGGTAGCTGGCTAATTGACAAAAAGACTGATGACTCTTTTGCTCAGAGTAACATGAACTTCTGTTAACATTTTTGCATTTCTGTGGCCCAATTTTCAGGAGAAAGTAATCTGCAGTGCCTGTGGCACAGGGAACCCTGTTAATCTGAGATTCTGTGTTACCTGTGAGAGGAGCCTGCCTTCCTCACAAAAGGTACGCTGGCTACTTGTGCCAATTCTACATTGAATGGATGCTATCTAAATGTTCAATGTTTAGAATGTTAAACAAAATATTATCTGGGATGGAGGGATCTCATGAATTGAAAACAGTGCAAATGTGGACAGAACTTGTCCCATACAAAATGTTTTCATAGTCTTTGACTTTCTTCCTCTTCGTAGGAAGTTAAAATACTGTTTTCTCCTATTAAAATGTACATTTCTGTGGTACATTTGTTGCAATTACTGGATGAGTATTGTTACATTATTATTAACTGAGAGTTCATATTTCACATTAGGATTCATTCTTTGTGTTGTATATAGTCTTATAGGTAGTGAAAATACTTAATATCATGTATCTTTGACAACAGTATTATACAGAATCGTTGCACTGCCCTTACAATGCTCTTCACTCACCTGTTCATCCCTCCTTTCTGTACTTGACACCTCCCCCAACTAAGCTATGGAGTATCTATGAGTTGGAATTAACTTAATTTTGTTCAATGATTTTCATGAGAGGTTGGAAGTGTCCATTTTCTATATGTACAATTCAGTTCTTAGCTGATGTTGGATTCTTAGCTGTGTTTCTGTGCATTACTTTTGAATGGTTGTGCTTGCGACTATAATGTTGTCTTAAAGTGATTATAACATACATCTTTAATTCTTCACTCTACTTAGTATTATATAGATTCATTTCTTTTTTTCCCCACATACTTTTATGCTATTTGTTGTTGTTGAGTACTGTCGAGTCAGAACTGGCCTATACCGGTGAGTTTTCAAAAGCAGTTAATCACATGGGAGGAGATTGCCCATCCTTCTCCCAGGAGCAGCTGGTGGATTTGAACCACAGACCTTCAGGATTGCAGTGCAGGTTCTTACCACTAGGCAACCAAAACTTATATGTGTACAAAGTGAGAATTCAAACAAAAATCCTCAACAGCCCCACTCCAGAAAATTGAGGCTTTTTAAAGCTATGTTCATTTTTTTAAAATTTTTATTTCTTTTTATTACCAACTTTTGCAGTCTGAAATAGATCAAACATACAATCAGTATGAAGTAAATATGAGAGACTGTGATGCAAAGGTTGGTGAAAAAAGAGCTGGAAAATACAGTCTTGGTAACAGAAATTAATATGGAGATCGAATGATAAAATTCTGTAAAATCAGTTCATTCTTTGCAAATACCTTTTAAAAGTATATGCAAAAATTCAAGTAAAAAAAAATCTTGGGCTTCACCTGGTGATATCACAAGAAATTAGACTGACTACATTTCTGGAAAAACAGGATAGGGGCTTGACTGTGGAATAGGTCATCAGTTACTCATGTACAAGTTCAAATTGACATTGATGAAAATCAAATCAAGTTCACAAAAAACCAAAATATGACCTTGAGTCTATCCCACCTGAATTTAAAAACCATCTCAAGAATAGATTTAATACATTGAACACTAATGATTGACAAACAAATGAATTGTAGGATGACAGCAAAGGTCATTATAGATAAAGGGGAGAAAGAAACTACCAAAGTGAATGTCAAAAGAGACTCTGAAAATTGTACTAAAAGGTAGAGAGGCAAGTATGGGGGGGAAAGAAGAAATAATGAAGTAAAAACATAAAACAGAAAATTTCAAAAGGCAGCTCAAGAGAAAGCCAAGTATAACAAAGTACAGAGGGCAGGAGTTCAAAAATTATTAGGGAAGACACACTAAGCATTTCTTACGTGGAAAGAATGGAAAGGCAAATTCAGGTTGTAATACTGCAGGATGTTGTTGCTGCTGCTGTTGTTGTTGTTAGGTGTCTGGAGTTGAGTACAACTCATAGTGACCCTATGAACAGCGGATCTGAGCTTCATCCTATCCTGTGACATCTTCGTACTTTTGACACACAAGAGCTTGTTGTGGTGGTCACACCATGTCACTCCACATGAGTGAGGGTCTTCCTCTTCTTCAACAACCCTCTTCACCTTTCCAAGCATCATGTCCCTCTCCAGAGAATAAACAGCCCCTTCCAGCAACATACCTGAAGTATGTGAGGTGAAGCCTGATGATCTTTGCCTCCAAAGAGCACTCTGGGTGCACTCTCTTTTGTTGGTTCTTTTGGCAGTTCATGGATGTTCAGAGCTCTTCTCCAACACCACAAAAACATTAGTTCTTCTGTCATCCCTTTTCATTGTCCAGCTCTCAAATATATACCAAGTGATCAGAAAGACAATGGCCTGAATAAGATGCCCCTTGCTCCTCAAACTAACATTATTACTCCGCAGTAATTTGGAGAGGTCCCTAACTGCAGACTTTCCCAGTGCAGTTTATTCCCTTGTTTCATGACTTCTGGTACTAAGGGCGTTAATTGTAAATGCAAGTAAGATGGAAGTTGATGACAGTTTCATCTCTTCTCCCTCATGATGTTGCCTGTCAGTCCAGTGGTAAAAATCTTTTATTTTCTTGACATTAAGATGCAACCCATATTAAAGGCTGCATTCCTTGCATAGCACTCCCTGATCTCAAAACCTTCTACACAGCTATAATACCCAAAACAATGGTACTGGTACAGTGACAGGTACATAGACCAGTGGAGTAGAACCAAGAACCCAGAAATTAATTTGTCTATCTATGGTCAACTGATACTCAACAAGGAAACAAAACCTACCAAATGAGCAAAAGGCAACCTCTTCAACAAATGATGCTGGCAAAACTGGCCTACAGAAAGCTGAAGCAGTATGCACACCTCTCACCATACACAAAAATCAACGGAAGGTGGATCAGAAAGACAGGGGAAAGCCCAAAACTATTACAATCATAAGAAACAACGTAGTATCAAGCTTAGAAGGCCTCGCTTATGGTATAAAAAGGCTTACAAATACAAACAGAAATACACAACCAGAAGAGGATAAAATTGATAAATGAGACTTTCGAAAGATTAAATCCCTGTGCACATCAAAACCATTTTGCAACAGAGTGAAAAGAAAACCTACTTACTGGGGAAAAACATTTGGCAATACAATCTCAAACAAGGGCATCATATCAGAAGTTTACAGAATCCCACAAGGGCTGGGCATTTGATTGTGCTTACATAAAACCTATATTTGGACCAGGAGGCAGTCAGAACAGAGCAAGGAGACACTGCATGGTTCAAAATCGGGAAGGATATACTCCAGGGATATATTCTGTCTCCATACCTTTCAATCTATATGCAGAACAGATCATCTGGGAGGCTGGGATCTATGAGGAGGAATGTGGCATCAGGATTGCAGGAAAATTCATCAACAACCTGCATAATGCAGATGACACAACCCTGCTTGCTGCAACTGAGGATGACCTGAAGCTCTTGCTGCAGAAGATCAAGGACTGCAGCCTTCAATATGGATTGAAGCTGAACGTCAAGAAAACAGATTCTCACCACTGGGCTGATTGGCAGCATTATGACAGATGGTAAAGAGATTGAGACTGATAACCACTTTAGTTTGCTTGGCTCCACAGTCAGCACTCTTGGTACCAGCAGCCTGGAAATCAAGAGATTAATTGCATTGGGAAATTCTGCTGTCAGGGATCACTCCAGAGTACTGCAGAGCAAGGACGTCAGTCTGGAGACCAAGATGCACCTGATCCAAGCCATAGTCTTCACAATTAGGTGCTATGCATCAGAGAGCTGTACAGTGACTAGGGATGATACAAAGAGAATTGATGCCTTTGAGCTGTGGTGCTGGAGAAGAGTGTTGAATATGCCATGGACTGGTAGAAGAACAAATGGGTTTGTCCTAGAGGATAAAACCAGGCTGCTCCTTGGAGGCAAGGATTCTGAGGCTTCATCTGACATGCTTTGGGCATACTGTAAGGAGGGACCTGTCCTTGGAGAGGGACATCATGCTTGGAAGAGTAGAGGGACAGTGCAAAAGAGGGAGACCATCGATGAGATGGATTGATTCAATGACCAGCGTAATGAGGGTAGGTGTATCAGAGACAGTAAAGTTGACACAAGATAGAGCAGGTTTCAGGGCTGTTGTACATAGGGTCACTATGGGTTGCCATTGACTCAACAGCACATAACAACAACAACAACAAGACCTCCACAAGAAAAAGACTGATAACCCAGTTACAACATGGGCAAAAGACTTGAAAAGACCTTTCACAGAGGAATACATTCGGATGGCCAACAGACATATGAAGATATGCTCTAAATCACTGGAAATAAGAGAGATGCAAATCAAAACCAAAGTGAGATATCTCAATCCAATAGCAGTGGCAAAGTTTGACAGGACAGCAAGTAATAAATGTTGGAAAGGATAAGGAGAGATAGGGACTCTCATACATTGTTGGTAGGATTGTAAAATGGTACAACCACTCTGGAAGGCAGTTTGGTGTTTCCTCAAAAATCTGAACCTAAAATTTCCATAAGACCCAGCTATTCCACTGCTTGGAATAGAAAATTAGAATGAAACACAAATGGAGATTTCTACACTAATGTTCATAGCAGCATTATTCATCATCACAAGAACATGGAAACAGCCCAAATGTCCAATCACAATAAAAAAGATTGAGAAATTGTGGTACATTTACCTGATGGGATACTATGCAACATGCTGGATTTAAAAAATTGCTACATAACTTGGGACATGCATTATGCTAATTGCACTAACTCATTCCCATAAGAAAAAATACTTTATAAGACCGTTACTATAGAAATAGAAAGATAACTAGTGAAGTGGATATGAAGATTGAAGGGCGGGTGAATAGGAGCAAAGGAGTGAGGATGGACAGGGGAGTAATCATATGGTCACACAATTTGGTAGGTAGAAAAGGAATGGGAAATATCTGATGTGGAAAACAATGTATACGAACTTTCTAAGCAAATCAGTATAAATTTTTTTTAAAGGGCTGCATTCCTTGATCTTCTGCAACAAGTGCTTCAAGTCCTCCTCACTTTCAGCAAACATGTTGTGTCGTCCACATAACACAGGTTATTAATGAGTCTCTTTCTGATCCTGATGCCATATTCCTCTTCAT